TCCGATCGGATTAAAAATTTTGAAATTTGATCTGATCCGATTCATATCTGATTCACAGATCGATCGGATTCGGATCAAAATTGTGAACACTAGTGAGAGTATTGAAAATAATTTGAGTAATTTATATTTCTTTTCTCTGGTTATACTTTTCAAATATTTTAACTATTGTATTGAGGATATAGAGCTATTTCTTCTTTATAATTTATATAATTTTCTATTTTTTTATCATACTGATCATGTGTAAAGAAAGATAAATTATTGATTTATTGTTTTGTTTATTTTTTTTGTTTGTTTATATTTAACAAGATTTGTAGAGTTGCTTGTTTATTATCTTATTTGAAGTGTTGTTTACTCAAATAAATTATTAATTTTTCTTGTTTTGATCTGTTTGTTTATCAGAATGGTTGTTGATCTTCTTTGTTATAAAAAATGGATTATTTATTCATAGACTTTTAGTAAATTTTGCTATATTGTTTTAATAATGACTTATTTGACACATATGTATTTATGTAACTTATTTTGTTGTTTAAACAGGTGTGTATGAAATTAGGATATTCTATTGTTTATTTCTTGTAAGTCTTTAATATCCTTCTGAATTTTATGAACTTTGAGTTTTTCTTGATTTATTGATAAGAACTATTGTTACTGAAGTTCTTTCTAGCATTTAAAAAGATATAAATTGATATTGATCTAGCTAAAAACTTGAAAAGTTGATATTGGATTTTCTTAAACTTATTATGAATCAGTTTGTGGATATATTTTCTTTTTCTTGTAAAACAAAGTAAAGTAAAGTCAAAATAATGTTATGTTACCTATACTTCTCTTAATTATTAAAGTAATCTTTGGGAAAATAACTAAATATTATAGTTTATTGTTAAGTCTCAGATCTTTGAAGAATAAAGTGTATTAGATTGATTTTTCTTTTCCAAGAAAATTATCAAAAAAGAAAATTTTTAAGGAAAAAGGGAATCAGTGGAAAGAGTTTTTTTTATAAATTGTAAATCAATAATATAGTAATAATATTTTTGAATTATTAAGTATTATTTTTTAATTTAATATAATTATAAAATATTATTATTTAAATATAGTAATATAAGAAAAAATTTTTTTATTTTATAATAGAAATTTAATTATTTTTAATTAAAATTTAATTTAATTATATAGAATTTTCAAATATAAAATATTTCAACTAGTTTTAGTACTAAGATAATGAAAACAAATTCTTATAAGTTTTGATAAATAAGTAAAGATCTACATATTATATTAAGGAATTAATAAAACCTAGATACTGTATATTAATTAGAAAAGTATTATTTTTAAATCGATAAATATCTATTTCAAACTTTATATAGTCATTTTATAGATAGACTATAATAAGTTATATAAAACTTCATATAAGCATTCTATAAGTGTATTATGAAAGTATTGAAAAATAAATAATTAGTAAAATGAGATAAAAATATCTCAAGAAGATCTTAAACTATTAATTATAAACTTAAAAATAGTAAAAAATAATATGAATATAGGTAAGTAGATTATGAAACTTTTTTGATAACAAGCTATAGAAAACTTATTTGTTTTTTTTTAAAAAAAAAAAAAAATCATTAATAGATATAAATATAATTTATTAATCCCTAGAAAAATTGAAACAAAACCACTTTAAACTAATAATGAAAGATACAGTATATTGTATCAAATAAATCAAAAAAATAAGTGGGAAAATAAAGAATTGTAAAAATTTTAATATAACAATGAAAAACTTGAAATTATATAAAAAAATTTTTTATCTCAATTTATTAGTATTGAAGAATAATCGGCCTATATACCGCATCGCATACGGTATAATAATGCATTTATTAAGGGCGTGTCAAACTTGATTACCCGATAATCCACCCTTAGCACAATCATAGGTCACATTATAAAGTGTTAGTGTTTTTATCAACTTGCTTATTATTAGAAATAAGTGAATACTTTTATCATGCGCGACTTACGTACTACCCTTTATATACGTATTGGGATTTAGTCCTCGTATCATAATCAAATTGGCAATCACTATGTCGACTGATTTCCCGCAACAGTACATTAATATATTAAAGTATATTGTAATTCATTAAAACTAATATTAAGTAATAATTAAACATTGTGTCTCAGATGATTGCAAATAATGCTTATCTATATTACAATTGGGATGATCATGTGGCAAAAAATATGCACAATCTTTATTAGACTCGGTCCCCATCGGTAATAGTTATGTCGTCATTATTTTCTTCTGGTAGATTTAAATCAATTGTTCTTTTTATTTTGTTCAGGATGACAGCCAAATCTCTAATATTCTCACTCTCTAAAATTGTTTTTAATTTCGTGATCAACTCATTATCCATGGCCTTTAGGTCAGACCTTACACCCGTAGGAACATGCATTCGATGTTCTAATCTGTGATAAATATTCTGCATGTCGCTCAAATTTGCCCACACCCTATTTGTTGCAACCGATAACGTGCGATTCCATGTTTGAATTTCATTGTTCGTTTCTCTTTGGTTGGTAGCGCAAAGGGAAGAATTGTTATCAGTTGCAATTATTGAAGATGGAGCAAAATTTCTCGTGTGATCAATAGAGGGCTGAATACCAAACGTTCTACTATCAGATTCGGAAAGTATCGGTACATGAGAATAAACATGATCAAAATCTTCATATTCACTATCAGAATCACTTTCTTCATCCATCTCAGTATTAGGCTCAACGTAGAAAATTTTCCTTTCCTTTTGAGTTCTTAACGCCTTAAGAGCATCTCTTCTCGAGGGCAATTGAATATATGGAATTGATTGGTGTTCTTGTTCAACAAATGATCTGTAGTCGGGATTGTAATCCGGTGGTTGATCTCGTAACCAATTTACTGCACGAATTGCTGCCCGGATGTGAGCACAAGCACCACCTCTAATCAAATAATGAAAACAATGACAATTAATGGTTGGTAATAAGCCAACCACGTAATAATTCATTTCATCATTGTCCCTAACTGTTTCCGGATTTTTCCCGTCAGATTTCACGGTGACATAGAGAGATTGACCGTTGTACTCAATAGAAGTAATTTTTTGACTCATTATGAAATGGTTTGCAATGTCCCATATTCGCGGGTCGGGTTGCTCAAATGCAATTGTATTGATGTATCGTGCAAGTAAGCCTCGCCATTGTCCTTCCTCCGGTTCTATACCTTCGACCACTGCTTCTGAGGCAGGCCGTTCGTCCTCTAAAAATTTCTTGATCCAATTCCATAATTGACGTTGTTTGCTGCATACAGGAGTAATGAACTTTACAAGCAAGAAGCTCAACACATCTAACCGTAAAATATTTCCTTTCTTTTGAAATCTTAACATACGAGATGGGTTAAATTGAACGTTGAATCCTTCCAAGTATTCTATTGACCAGGGGAATAAATTCACATCAATCCCTACTGATTCCGCAGCTTTCCTTCTACCATAATCATTCCACATTTCCATATGTCCAATGAATTGATCATTTTGAAGAAATTTCATCATCTCACGTTGACCATCAAACAACGCCAGAATCTTTGAGCTGACTTGTTGATCGTATGCTTTGGAGTACTTTTCCTAAAGATTCAAATTTTTAATTTTTTTCAATTATTAATTGAAATATTTCGTCAAACGTAAGCAAACGAATTATGAAAGAATCTTAAATGATTTTTGCATAATTACAAATGCAGAATCTTTCATGGCCCCGAGTTTTTCATTGATCTCGCTTATTGTTGTTGCTGATTGTAGCCTGTTTTTAAAAAATTCGTACGTATGAGTAATCATTATAGTGCATAGATTAATAATATTTATATGTGCAACGTACGCGTACCCGTCAAAAAGTTCGTTCAACTCCTTAATAAGGTCCTGACGAATTTTTTTGACATTTTCATCACCATCAGATCCCAATAATTGACTGGCCTTTTTTCTCCAACATGAGTATACTTGAAAAGGGGAGAAGAGTATTTGAATTCCGTTCCAGACTTCGCCCACAGCAACCCGTTCTTGATCGTCAAGATCTATAATTGCAACCTAATTACAATGAATAAATTGCATGCCGGGTGATGCGTGTGATTCGTAATATATATAGAGAAACAAATTCGATCACGGAACATTTACCTTAGGAGTGAAAATTACTTGAGAGATTTCAGGGTCATTGCTCACTTGTACCTTATATTCTTCCAAAAGTCTCTTTAGTATCGTGTATTCGTGATTACTGATTCCAATCACTTCAGGATCACCGGGTCTCGAAAACAAAAGATAACCAACAGGAATGCCATTTTTTAATTCATCAACAACCATTATAATGTACATTCGAATTTTTTTATTACCAGTTGGAAAAGTTCCATTTAATATTATGTATCTCTGATGCCCGTATTGTTTTGCCAGTAGTCTTTGTTCTTTAGTTGCCAATACCAGACAGGTGTAATCATAGCGATGTTTTCGCAGCTTAAAATAAAGTACCGCATCACTTAATTCTCCATCGTTACCAAAGAATTGTTCCATATTATGATCAACTGATCTATTAACGTTCACGTCCCATGAATTCTGAGATTTTATCCACCGTCTTGCATCTTTAACATCGAAAGCGGTAATTAAAAAATGGTAACTCTCCAAATTAGTTCTACCGTCGAGATGATTCTTGATCAGTTGTTGATTAATAGACAAGACATCCTTTATGGATGTGTTCGCCCTGACTAACAATTCAATAATATCACGAACTTCTTCCCTGATTTTCAATTCATGATTACTTTTTATTGGAAATGAGCGATGGCAAGCCTCCGAATGTTCTAGATACCCGGATGCCCGTTTAAACTTCCCGGTGGGATACTTTTCCACCCTGACGAAAGCTAAACACCCGTTAAATTCATAGGCTTGTCGAAGTTTCCTCCGTTTGGAAGCTTCGGTCTTACTGGCAGTTTTCATATCCGAACCACAGCTGCATTGATAAAGGGTAGCACCATTTCTCGTATCACTCCAACGAGTTTTCCATCTTGACTCCGGTCTGTTGACGTAGTCTGTCATGAGACCTTGAAAAGCCATAAACTCTCTGGCTTTTTCTTGTTCTTCGTCACTTTCTCCCCATGTTTCAGATACTAAATCGACATATTTGAATAGGTTATGTAATTGGTTTTTTTGTTTTTCATTGAGAATTAATTTTGAAATTTTTGGTGTCGATTTGACACGAAACCTTTCTTGGAACATCGCAAATGATCATACAAACAGGTGACATAAAGTATTTAATCCGAAACTTTGCACAATTATGGCAAATGCACGTAAGACGCTCGAATATTTAATAAATGAAATGTTTATATTTTATATAAATATCACATGTTTTATTTCTGATTGGCCCGATCGATATTTGGGATTTTGGTTAAGTTCCGCACTATATACTGTATTATGTAAATACATCAAATACAGTATATAAACCTCATATTTCTTTATTATTATTATTCTCCAGCTTGGAAGAATAATTGATAGTAACAACCTATCAATGATAATAGATAGATTAAATGATCTATTTTGAAGTATATACAGTTTGGGACAATATTTTTTTGTTTTTTTTTATTTTTTATTATAATTTAATAAATAATTATTTTTTTACATTAATAAAATTATTTTCAATTGTTAGTATTTGACATAAAGAATATTAACAAAAAATCAGTAAATAAATTTTAACATTGTAGCAAAAAAATTTAACACAAAATTTGACAAAAAATTTGTATACTAGTCAAAAAAAATTATTTAGTATACTATCATTCATATAATATTTGGTAAAAAATAAACAATTTGATAAAAAAATAATATAAATAAATTGACAACTATATAATTTAACTATAAATATTACAAAAATTGATATATTTATAATTTACTAACAATTCATCAAAAAAAT